CCGCGAATGACATGAATATCAGTTAAATATTAAATAAAACTGTGCAATTGATTAAATAAAAATACCAATCGCAATGGAGTCAAACTTCGGGTTGCAGTTAGCCATGTCTCTGAGATTCTCTCACTCTTCTTTCCTGCTTTCTCTTCTCTTCATCTTCCTCTCTTCCATACCTGCAATCTTAGCCCTTCAAAATGACGACCCAACCATTAAAACCATGCAGGATTTCTCTGGATACCCAGTTGATGAACCAACTCACTCTTCTATTTCAGTTTCTCTGTCTGTCCCACTTTCAATTGATAATCAAACTCTGCCGAAGCAGGTACTGTATGATTGTAAAGATTGGTACTTTATCTCAGGTGTTTTAAAGGGTCCATTTTATGTATGATTGTGTGTTAAAGTGTGAATTTTGGGTTAATTAGATTGATGAGCTCTCAACCTTCTCCGATGCACCTGACCCAGCAGTGACGAGGGTACTCTACACTGACAAGGATGTATTGGGACGCAGGTACTATACTATTACTAGAAATTTAAATTTCTTGATTTTGAGTTGATTAGAGTGATCCAAGTGCTGATATGTCTTTCTTTTTTTTTTTATTTTTTTGTGGAAAGATATGTCTTTCTTGTTGTCGATCATCATGAGGTTATAACTTTTTTGTATATTGTTTCTGTTTCTCTGGAGTAATTTTAAAACAACATGTCAACACAGACAGGATTTATTGTCTTTTTTGGTGGCTTGCTGGTTCAACAATAAAATAATTTGTAATACAAAAAACTGTTGTGCACTCTGAATCACACTGAACTACACCACAAAGACGGTTGGATAAGGGATGGGCTCATGAAATTAGAAGTCTTTCCCACCCAACCATTCGTTTTTTATAGTGCAGTACAGTGCTTACTGGAAAACCTCTTCGTAATATTTAGTCATTGGGAGACTTGGTCGTGTGAAAGTGACTAGTCTAGTGAAGCTCCCAAGCTTCTTAAATTTAGCTAAGATTTTATCCTAAGTTCTGTCTTTTATAATTTCATTGCAATATTCTCATTGCAGGTACATCAAGAACCTGATGGGACTCGCTGGCCTCTCTGTTAGAGAGGATGCTGTGGGTAACATATTTGGTCGATGGTGGGTTTCTGTCTTTAAGACTTTGTTATCTGTTTCTTTGTCATATTTGAATCTTACTATCTTAAAGTAGATATCTTCAAGTCTTCTTCATTGTCCTATTTGTATTCTCCTTTGTCTTGTAGATTTACTGTGCTTACCTGGGCACAATCTCGAGCATGACAAATGGGGTTTTATCTAGCTTAAGCATGTTAAATGATGCTGAAGATTTAAACTGCCACAGTTTTCTGATTTATCAACTAATTGGTGGTGAATGGAAAAAGTTTTGGTCAACACTGGAAAGTGGTTTTTCACTCTTAAACCAAACAGTTCAATGATTGATTTTGTTGTTTCCATCTGTTCCCTCTGCTTTCCACTGACCTAATATCTGCAAACTTGTCTAGGCTCCCAATTGGCTTGTCTTGACATTAACTTTTTGATCTTCATAATATATTTCGATAATTTCATTGCGGTTTTTCAGATACTTTCTGTCTCTTTCCTAATCTAGGGATGGCTATGAACCAGACCTACCAGCTGTGGCAACAGGTTCTCACATTGATGCTATTCCATATTCTGGGAAGTATGATGGCGTAGTTGGTGTTTTAGGTGCAATAGAAGCCATTAATGCACTTAGAAGGTTTGGGATTTCTTTTCAATATGAATGGTTTCTCTTAAGCTCTTTGATCTTTGGATGAGATTTTTGGTCCATTACTTGATAACTGTAATTTCCTCAGGTCAGGCTTCAAACCTAGACGGTCATTGGAAATAATCTCGTTCACTTCAGAAGAGCCCACACGCTTTGGGATAGGCTGTTTGGGAAGGTTAGGAGTTAGGGGGATGCCATATTATGCATGATTGTGTTAAACTTGTTTTCTCTTTTGAGTTTGCTTCCATTGTCTACTTTTTAGGATTTTTATGTGCAATTCTCTAGTTTGTGACTTGTGATGTGTTCCCTTCCTGTATGTAGCCGCTTATTGGCAGGGGATGTGACCCTTGCAAAAGCTTTGAAGGCAACAGTTGATGGTCAAAACATATCCTTTCTTGATGCTGCAAGATCTGCTGGATATGCACAAGATCAAGATGATCTATCCAGTGTGTTTTTAAAGAAGGGGACTTACTCTGCTTTTGTTGAGTTGCATATAGAGCAGGGGCCCATTCTGGAGGAGGAAGGTTGTGTGTCTTTTCTTCTTTTTTTTTTTTTTTTTAATATCTATTCTCTCTCTAGCCACTAAATCGAGTCCCCAGTAATCCACCTTATTCTTCAATTCAGGTGTAGCTATTGGTATAGTGACTGCCATTGCAGCCCCTGCAAGTATAAAAGTTGATTTTGAAGGCAGTGGTGGCCATGCAGGTGCTGTCTTGATGCCAAAAAGGTAATTGTACATACACTATTGTGGCTTTGGGATTAAATAGCAGTAAGATAAACACCATGCACTTTTCTTTCTTCTAAGTTCAAAAAATTTTCGTGCTCATTTTCGTCCATATGATTTCCCGAAGAAGTTGCAGGCTGTGAAATCTTTTTTTTTAAGATCATTGTTTTGCTATTTATTTTCTGACTTTCTAGTCAACTATATCTAATTTAGAAGCAATTGAATTCAACCCACCAC